GAAATGCTATGAAACACAGATAAATGGATGGCAAATGTATGAATTATGAATCTGCGCCATGTCTAACACCAAGTACAGAATGAAAACGAATACAAATAACGCTCAAAAAAATTATAAGTAACTATTCCAAATGACTAATGGTGAATTGAATTTGCATCAGATGTTTTTGTTAATGTCAAATTTTCGGTCTTTTTTCCAGGTATTCAAATATCCAACACTTCTAAGGAAGGAAAAAATTTAAGAAAAAAAGTAACCGTTTTTAATAGGAAGAAACTAAAACGATTAAACGCGAAATGTGGGGGAGGAAATGCTTAAACCAACAAAAAATCTGAATTTTAATCTGAAAATGTTGTGCGATCCAGAGGTGAGCATTAAAATCAGGTTTCTTCAAAACGACTCAAAATTAGGTCACTGAGCCGATAAAATGATCATTTGTGCAGAATAAAATTTTAAAGCGAAAACACGACAAACTAAAAAGAAAATGTAAGAAGTCAAGGATAGTAAAATTACAAATAGCAGAAGTAAATCAAAACAATAAAAACAACAACAATGTAAATTGCGTACAGTAAAAAAAACAATGCTACGATGTGGAAAATAACCCGACAAAACTTAATCTGTCAACAAATCAGCCGATAAAAAAACTTCCGGTTTCAAAAAAAATTTCCGGTTCAGTCAGATTCATACCCAGGACCTTTAACGTCCCAGGCAGATTCGTAACCTCCAGACCAAAAGTGCCAGAGGCTCAAAATAATTTGAATTTTTTATGAACTGAACTAAAATTCACCATTTCTTATTTTGACTATTCTGCAAACAAAGTTATTTACGAGAAAAAAAGTCTGGCACCCGATTTCAAAACCCTTGCTGATCGCAAGGGTAAATATTGCAATCCCCAAAAATACGTTTGAGGATCCATCAATAATTTGCTTTCCAATTATTGAACTAGTAAACTGTTGCTGTGCAAGCAGCACAGAACTTTCCGAACACCATGATTTTAGAAAAAAACTCCGCAATAAAGAAAAGATTTCATATCGAAAAAAAAATCTTTAACTATTTTTTTTTATTTCTGCCTAAATTTCCAGATAATTCATTTCTAGAAAAGGCTACTGATTTAGGTGAAAAATGCAAAAACGAGTGGTAAAACTTTTCCAAGAAGTTAAATGCCGGAATTCTTGTTCAATTTGGAGGTCAGCCACTACTATTGTCTACTTTGGTCTAAAAGCCGAAAATATTCAAACTTTTTTTTCTCAACATTGCGACAAAAATTTTGATATGCGATGAAACATCGAGACGATTTTAATCTGATTTCATAGTTGACCGCCTTAGAGTTTTCTTTGATTCAATCGAAATCGGGAAGAAAAAAAGGCTCTTTTCCAGTTTCCCCCTTTCAAAATACCGAGTTTTATATTGGTTTTACGTGTTATTACGGCTAAATGCGTGATTTTACGCTGTAAAGTATGAAGAGCAAATCTGTTCAGAATTGTCGATTTGTTCACCACGCCACATTTCATTGCCAAAAAAATTATAATTAACTATTCTAAATGACTAATGGTGAATTGAATTTGCATCAGATGTTTTTGTTACTGTCAAATTTTTGGTTTTTTTTCCAGGTATTCAAATATCCAACACTTCTAAGGAAGGAAAAAATTTAAGAACAAAAGTAACCGTTTTTAATAGGAAGAACCTAAAGCGATTAAACGCGGTATGTGGGGGAGGAAATGTTTAAACCAACAAAAAATCTGAATTTTAATTTGAAAATGTTGTGCGATCCAGAGGGGAGCATGAAATTATCAGGTTTCTGCAAAACGACTCAAAATTATGTCACTGAGCCGATAAAAAGATCATTTGTGCAGAAAAAAATTTTTAAAGCGAAAACACAACAAGCTAAAAAGAAAATGTAAGAAGTCAAGGATAGTAAAATTACAAATAGCAGAAGTAAATCAAAACACTAAAAACAACAACAAAGTAAATTGCGTACAGTAAAAAAAAACAATGCTACGATTTGGAAAACAACCCGACAAAACTTAATCAGTCAACAAATCAGCCGATAAAAAAACTTCCGGTTTCAAAAACAATTTCCGGTTCAGTCAGATTCATACCCAGGACCTTTAACGTCCCAGGCAGATTCGTAACCTCCAGACCATAAGTGCCAGAGGCGCACAATAATTTGAATTTATTATGAACTGAACTAAAATTCACCATTTCTTATTTTGACTATTCTGCAAACAAAGTTATTTACGGGAAAAAAAAGTATGGCACCCGATTTCAAAACCCTTGCTGATCGCAAGGGTAAATATTGCAATCCCCAAACAGACGTTTGAGGATCCATCAAAAATTTGCTTTCCAATTATTGAACTAGTAAACTGTTGCTGTGCAAGCAGCACAGAACTTTCCGAACACCATGATTTTAGAAAAAAACTCCGCAATAAAGAAAAGATTTCATATCGAAAAAAAAATCTTTTACTATTTTTTTTATTTCTGCCTAAATTTCCAGATAATTCATTTCTAGAAAAGGCTACTGATTTAGGTGAAAAATGCAAAAACGAGTGGTAAAACTTTTCCAAGAAGTTAAATGCCGGAATTCTTGTTCAATTTGGAGGTCAGCCACTACTATTGTCTACTTTGGTCTAAAAGCCGAAAATATTCAAACTATTTTTTCTCAACATTGCGACAAAAATTTTGATATGCGATGAAACATCGAGACGATTTTAATCTGATTTCATAGTTGACCGCCTTAGAGTTTTCTTTGATTCAATCGAAATCGGGAAGAAAAAAAGGCTCTTTTCCAGTTTCCCCCTTTCAAAATACCGAATTTTATATTGGTTTTACGTGTTATTACGGCTAAATGCGTGATTTTAAGCTGTAAAGTATGAAGAACAAATCTGTTCAGAATTGTCGATTTGTTCACCACGCCACATTTCATTGCCAAAAAAATTATAATTAACTATTCTAAATGACTAATGGTGAATTGAATTTGCATCAGATGTTTTTGTTACTGTCAAATTTTTGGTTTTTTTTCCAGGTATTCAAATATCCAACACTTCTAAGGAAGGAAAAAATTTAAGAACAAAAGTAACCGTTTTTAATAGGAAGAACCTAAAGCGATTAAACGCGGTATGTGGGGGAGGAAATGTTTAAACCAACAAAAAATCTGAATTTTAATCTGAAAATGTTGTGCGATCCAGAGGGGAGCATTAAAATCAGGTTTCTGCAAAACGACTCAAAATTATGTCACTGAGACGATAAAAAGATCATTTGTGCAGAAAAAAATTTTTAAAGCGAAAACACAACAAGCTAAAAAGAAAATGTAAGAAGTCAAGGATAGTAAAATTACAAATAGCAGAAGTAAATCAAAACACTAAAAACAACAACAAAGTAAATTGCGTACAGTAAAAAAAAAACAATGCTACGATTTGGAAAATAACCCGACAAAACTTAATCAGTCAACAAATCAGCCGATAAAAAAACTTCCGGTTTCAAAAACAATTTCCGGTTCAGTCAGATTCATACCCAGGACCTTTAACGTCCCAGGCAGATTCGTAACCTCCAGACCATAAGTGCCAGAGGCGCACAATAATTTGAATTTATTATGAACTGAACTAAAATTCACCATTTCTTATTTTGACTATTCTGCAAACAAAGTTATTTACGGGAAAAAAAAGTATGGCACCCGATTTCAAAACCCTTGCTGATCGCAAGGGTAAATATTGCAATCCCCAAACAGACGTTTGAGCATCTATCAATAATTTGCTTTCCAATTATTGAACTAGTAACATGTTGCTGTGCAAGTAGCACAGAACTTTCCGAACACCCTGATTTTAGAAAAAAAACTCCGCAATAAAGAAAAGATTTCAAATCGAAAAAAAAATCTTTAACTATTTTTTTTTATTTCTCTCATAGACTGAAATCATTAATTTAACCAAAAGCAAAAAAGAGGCTTTGAACTCCACTTGACTCAAATTTTGCAGCATTTGTCCCTAAAATAACACACCTCGTATTTAAAACATAACTCCATGGCAAAACTCTTGTTTTGGCATAACCAAAGGCTTCAAAAAGTACATTCTTTAGAAAATAAAGCCAACAGACACTTATTAAAACAGACACAATTATTCGAAGAAAAAAACATATCACGACGAAACTCTGTTTCCGATACAGTTTAAGATTATCACTTTTTTCGTAAAAATGTAAAGAAAACTGAATCAAAATGCAACTTTTTTATTCTGCTGAGAATTCAAAAAATTCAATTAGAGCGTGAACAATATTTAAAAACTTTCTTCTGAAATAAAAAAAACTATCAAAACGTTTATAAAATAAAAACACTTCTTTCTTTTTTACTTAAAAGACACCAACTATTGAGAACATAGCCAAAAGTCAAAGAGATCGCTTTAATGAGCTCAAGAAAACCAGGAAAAAAAGCTGATTGCTTTCTTTGAATCCTGAAGCAATTTCCGAAGCAAAAAAATAACCTCAGGTTGTTTTGAATTTAAAGAATCATTCGACACTTTTTTTAAACTAACTTATTAAAGAACTGGATCAATCAGTTTTTCTTCTTTCCACTGAGAAGCCTAAAAACAACCGCAAACATTTTAGCCTAGTTTTTGATAGAGCAGGTGAGGATCTAGGATTTTCTATCATTTGTCTAAAAATTTTCTCGCCCTTTTCTAATGTGGTCATAATTGACACAAGCAAAATTTGGAGCAATTATGGAGGGTTTTGACGCGATTAAATGTATAAGGGTCGGTCGCGAAAATCAAAATGGCCAACTTTCACTTGAAACAATAAGTATGACGTGAGCGTCCCTCGAAATTTCTTTTGAAAAACTACTTCCCTTCAGAAGAATAACTTCCAGCAAAACATATACCCCGATTCTTTTTATTTTTAGCCAGTAGCAAAACCGATGCGGATTAATATTAAACTTTTAATTCACATGTGGAAACTAGGAAGAAAGAAACAGATGCAAACTTGATTGTTTTTTCTCGTATTTCACCGCAAAAAAAAACAGATTCAGCAGAATTTTAATAGTTCAATAAAATAATCCAAATTCAAAAAGAAGACCAAAATATTCCGATAATTTCATAACTCATTAAATATAACTTATCACCGACAACGCATTGAATAAAATATATAATTATATGGCCAAACAATTGATTGCATTTTTGAGTTTCCAAAATAATGCACTTTGGTTTAGGTAGCAGTATCTTGAGATTTCTCTTTAACTTCAGCTACAAGAGTTCCATTTTTCTCATCTCCTTCTTCTTTCAGCTCAACTTCGGTGTACTTTTTATTAGTTGCCAATATAAGCGACATGAAACACGGTACAAACATAATTTCATGTAAGGGTCCTAGGATCCCAAACACGAAAATACAGTTTCTGACAACAACAGCCAACGTTGTGTAAGTCTTCGCACAAATAATTGCGAAAGCCAGCAAGGATACCAGCATACTAGAGATTCCTTGAATAGGACTCGGAGGCGCTGCTGAGACGTTCCCATCGTCGGCATCTTTTGACATCAGATACTTCAAAGTAGCATGAACCGAATAATAAGAGAAATCAATGGCAAATAGATACATTGCGAAGTAAAAGGCCATTGATATATTGCTTAGTGTTGTCCCCAGTAGCATCTGCAGAGCAAAGAACTCCACAAAAAGCATGATTGAATTAACGTATATTGCCAATATTGCAATTGGATGTGGTATAGCAATACATGAACACAGCGGAAGCAGAACTAAGACTCCAATTACGAGAGGCAGAAAAATAGTTCTGGACATCACATCGCGACTGCTTTCGAAAAGCAAAAACATCGGCGAGTACAGTTCAAACGAGTCTGCCGGGTAGTAATTTTTCAGTTCGAAACTCGGATCCATAGCTAATTGCTTATGAGCCTCCTCAAGTTGTGTCATTACCTCCACTTCATGCGCTGTATGTGTTATTAATTTCATCCCGATGTACATTCTTGTATACGGATCGCCTTCGATTTCTTCCTTGTAAGGTGGCATAGACAAGGCGTCCATATGGTACCTTCCCATATCATTAAACAGGCCTGCGGTCGACGGAGAAGATAAAAACGGCACACTGAAGTAGGTTCTGAAATTTGTCTCGGTCTTCAAGTTCTTTTCACCGTCGGAGAAAAGGAAAGCCATCATTATGTCATAAAAACTGAGTCCGAAACGAGGTCTCATCCAGTCGGAACTAGCCCACAAGGGTGTGAAGATCTCATCTGTGACCAGATTCGAATGGAATCTACAGGCTGAGTCAGACCGTGGACAAGCCTCGAAATTTTCCAGCCCGATCTCATTCCAGTACTTCGCCTTGTTGTTGAAAATAATTTGAACACCTGCACCAACGTCTGGGTAATACTTTTTCAACATTCTTATCGTCTCAGCAACATCGGAATCAGGTAGGAAAGATTGCAATCTGTCGTATCCGTAGTATCTTTCATCGTGGTTTTCAGCCGACATTATGACGCAGCTGTAGACAAAACACAGCAAGAAGAACACAGCAAATAACGTTAGTGTAAGACCACGTACACCAGGTGAACATAAAATGTCCGAATGGTACGCTCGCTTGATTCTAGAGACCAAAGAGTTACGTGCAGGTCCACTAGCTTTTCCCATGCAGCAGGGACTTTTGCCCTCGTTTCCGGCCTTGAGCGTTCGGCCAAGAAGAGGCAAGAAAGCAAATAGGCATGTCAAACAAGACAACAGAAAGAAGATTCCTGAAATAACAGTCAACTGGAATATCGCCAAAAATCTAGGTTTGATTTCATTTTTAAGCCGTACTTCTTATTGCTTCTAATCGAGTTTTATACGTTTTTTTTTCAGTCATAAAATCGAAAATTATATTTATTACACAGAGGCGACGCTTCGCTTCACAAATACTAGTGAGAACACGGCAAAAAAGCAGCTCTATAAAGTGCAATAAGGAAAAATAGAAATAAGCCTGGAATTAGCAAAAATGCGTCTACGTCTGAGATTCGAACCTGCCACCTAGAGATTAAGAGTCTGACACCCTAACCACTCAGGCACGAAAGCTTCATGGATAATAGCCAGCCACTAGTCACAAATAAAGCAGAGAACAGATGCTATGAAATTTCCAAAGCTATATTGAAATTTCCAAATAAGTGGACACTTTAAAAGCAAACTTTTATTTGCGGGTTAGGTTAGAAAAAAAAGAAGGTTCGTAACAATACACTAAGCTGACGCTAGTGTAATTATCCTGTTTTAATGCTAAAAACAAAGACACAGCATTCTTTAACTTTTTATTAACTACTCTGGACCATTTAGACTCGAAAGTAAAAACGAACATACGAGGAGCACAAATCTTTCACGATGAGGCACTGCTGAGAGTCCAATTTAGAACTAACATCCCGCCATAACTCAGATACCACTTTTGGTCATTCGCTGGTGCATAAGGGTTGGAGATAACTAGCATTTAAAAATAATTAGGAGTAATAAACAGAAGAACAACAAACCTGCGAATGCGGCTGGATGCCACACTAGTTTATACATGCAGCCATTGAAGAGAAAAGCGGTGAGACTCAGACTGAGAGACGTGGACACCACAATGGGAGCCCAATGGGCGAACAAGACTGAGAAGTCCTCCTCTTCTCCTGACTTTTCACGACTACACTCCTTGATTGAGTCCGTGATCAGAAGGGCCAATCTCAAATGGAAGACTGAAAAGAAGAAAACTCATCAAAAATCAGGCCTCATAATAAACTTCAAGTGTCTCCCTCCGCAAAAAAAAATCAGAAAACCCGAAATTCCATTAAATGACCCGTTAATAGGTTCTGAACCTACTTTTCATGGCCACTTTTTTCTCAAAATACTTAACGCTTAATAGGTTTTTGAATTAAATTTGCTGAAATGATCTGTTTGCTGAAATGATCTGAAATCTTTTTTGTTTTGTAGTAACTATTAATTTGAATTTAATATTCCCATTCAACTCAATAAAAAACAAACTCTTACATTCTAGAAAGACAACCAGAACTGCAAACGTGTACACAATCTCAAATCCCAGCAGACTTCCGACACCCACAGTTCCTATGAGTGTACACAGGAAAGTTCCTATCGCAAGCAGAAACAAAATGGCAAAGTTATTGTCAGCACAGGGCTTCACAAGCCATACAAAAGGTAAGAATAACGCCAGAATCGCAGAAAAGCCGACAAATCGCATATCATATTGCGTTGCTTCGATTCCACCTTGAATAGGCGCAATGTTACTGAAACACCTAAATTTCCACCCATTATTTCCAGTTGCATTGTTGGCCTGCGCGGCAAAACTTTGACAGTTCTCGTGGATTCCCGACAACCAATTAGAGGCCAAGTCGCGGTCTTGTTGAGTATCGTGTCGGAGAAACCAGGCATACCTCAATGCTTCTACTCTGTTTGCATTCTCCCCGACATACATGCAAGTGGCATTGTATTTCATTCTTGTCTTTCCGATATTCCTTTTGCAAATATGCACATCAAGTCCTTCTTCGCCTCGCTTTGATGAGCCGAAGACGTTTGCGAATGGGATGACAACAAACTCGTCTAATATGAGCTAAGGCATGGAAAGCTATATTTATTAATTAACATTAAACACCTCAAATGACGCAATTTTTGCTAAAAACTATCTTTGCAGCGAAAAAATGGATAGAATATATTGTACAAGGGATAACTAGCCACCTCTTGAACTTCGCTATTTAGGAAAAACCCAATTGTCTATTAACTCACAACTCTCACAAAACTTCATACCATTATAAATTAACTCACTTTTTGAGCAGGAAAATCAATGGTATGGCCGCGCTTCCGTTTGGTTCCATTGTTCATAATCAACTCCATAATTCCAGATGCACTTTCTCTGTACTTCTCTTTGAATGGTTCAGTCGTGTTCATTCTGATACACTTGTCTTTATTCAGCCAAACATGTTTTGCACACAAATCAGAGAACGTTTTCTGGTCAGATGACTCAAAGTCTTCGACAATGTCAAAAAATTGGTTAATAGTATGAACCCCATTCAAGTCTTCTCCATTGATGGGTCTTTGAGAATCGTTTCCTGGATACATGATAACTGCCAGAAAAGTGATCCTGAGATCCATTGTCCATTGCGGTTGATAGAATGACGTACTGTTGTATGCGAACACATCTTTGAATTTCAGGTATCTGAAAATAGGCATTGACGTATTTACAGTTTCTCATAAATTGGAGTAGCGTGTAACGCATCTCCAGTTATTCGAATTTTTGACAATTCATCAAAAACCGCATATATTGAAAAAAAACATCAGCTGCCTTTGAGTGTATTCTGACAGCACCACCCAATTAATGGAAATACATAATAAATTTTGACAAACTAAAAAAATGCCACATCTCGAAAACTTTGAGGGCCTTTGGAGAAACTATGATTGCAACCACTGAAAGTAATCTTAAAGCAACCCACTAAAAAGCTAGGAATTTCAAATTTCGTGAGATTTAAGAAAAAACGTCATATATCCGAAATCAAAAGGGTTTGAGCATTCATTATGAGAAGCGAGATTCGCAGCGCTTGAAAATACCCTGAAAAAAAGGTTGTCTCACTTTAAGCTTGGGGCTTTCAGATTTCAAGTTTTGTGAAATTTTTTGTAGGTAAGTTCTTTGAAAAATTTTGAAAAACGTCATATATCGGAAACTAAAGCCTTTCAACGCGAGCCTTACCAACCCTTACTTTCACAGTACCTAGCTACAGAGTTAAGAATTTCAAATTTTTCAAATCTAAAGTTTTCTGAAAATTGTGAAAAAATGAAAAACGTCATATTTCGAAAACTACAAGGATTTGAGCAGTCAATTTTGGAGACAAGAATTGCAATACCTCGGATTAGCCTGACAGAGCCTCACTGTAGGGATGGGAACTTTAAATTTTTGTTCCGACTTTCGAAGAAAACGCAAATTTTATGCTCGGTGTGGTTTTCTTTTATTCAGTCAATTTTCGCCGATCGAAATAATAGTTTTTAACAAAAATTTTTTATACCATATTGAAGATATCGATTTCCTGAGTTCAAACTTAAAAAAATATTTTGTGTCCAATTAAAATTTGGAAAGTTCTGGCGGTGAAAAAATTGCCCATTTTCTGGACTAAATTATGCGCGCTTGGAAGAGTTTAATCATAATGCTGAGAGCGTAACGTGAATTATCTATGCGTGGCAAATTCACAAATTGACTTGAGGCTAGCTAATCGGTCGCATTAATTTTGTACGACTCAAAATTTCACACTTTGATATTAACCAAAATTTGTAGATTTTCATATTTTCTTTTCTCAAAAACTATTCGATATAAATTAAAGGGACAGTGGGAACATTCAGGGCTTTGCTCTGATATACGAACAGTCTTGTTTATATCTCAAATTTTTGACCGATTTTCAAAGAATAAAACGCCACATCTTGAGAACTGAAAGCACTCGAGCAATCACATTTAAACGCAACCTTTAGAACTCCGTAAATTACCCTTACAGTAACCAACTACAAAGTTTTCTGAAATATGAAAAAAAAATCATTAAAAATGTCATATCTTGATAACTACAAGGATTTGAGCAGCTATATTTCAGGATTTGAGGAGCCGCTGAGAATACCCTGACAGCACCCATTTATAAGCTTGGGAATATCAATTTTTGTGCACTAATTTTTGATTTGGTTTTTCTGAAAATTTGAAATCACAAAAATCGTCGTATCTAGTAAGCTAAAAGGAATTGAAAATACATAATCGGAGGCCGAATTCGCAAATCCGGGCGAAACCCTGAAAGCATCCCATTATTTCGTTGCTGATTCTAAACTCGGTGCAAGAAACACTGACTGAATTCAAACTGCAAAATAAAAAAAATCTTTGCATTGCACTAGCTTAGAGTGAAACATTTTTTTCGCTAAACATGCAAAAACAATACGTTGAAAAAACTTAAGCTTGTCGAGATATTGAAACCCGCATTTGAATATATAATAGAGTAGGTAGATAATAGTTAAATTTAGAGATTATAAGCCGGTGGACAAACTTTTACTCAATTACCACGCAAATTCAGGTTTTCTCTCTAAATTACCTAATTTCAAAACGCAAATCCAGGTGTTCTCTAAATTTCCTAATTATATTTTAGAGGAACGAGAGCAATCAAATTACACTCGAAGACAAAGTTAATTGCAAGCGAACGGAACGTTTTTTGATCACTTGAAAAACAACTAAAATATATAAGGTATTTGATTACTAGCAGCAGGTCCGATTGAACGCCTGCAAGCATACATTCGCCTTGGCACTGAGTTATATGACTAGAATTTTAAACTGTCAATTCACATGCTTTTGCACATTTTGTGCGTCACGAATTACAAACTTTTCGAAAATGATTAGCGATCATGAACAATTGTCAATGGATAAAATGTCACATTTACAAAACACAAATCAAAATCAAACAACTTATTCTTTTCAAAGCTTTTAAAACTAGAATGACGAATCTTCTACAACTAATGGGTTTCAGATTTTCATGTTTTGAAGAAATTTTTGCTAAAAAGTAAATTTCAAACGTTTTCGCAACTATGTGCATCGTCAGGATTTTTACAATAAACAACTCTAAATGACGATAAAACATCAATTTACAAATGTTATTTACAATAAATCACATACAATTTGGTTCTAAACCATCGTGATAAAAAATTAGCCAATCACAGTTGACCTCTAAATTACTATTAAGATTAAAATACTTTTAACCTCTAAAAATAATTAAACATTTTTAAATTAATTTGTCTGGAAGTTTCTGAGTCACAATTTCGATTTAGACATGTACGTTTTGAATAAAAAACCAAAAATATTTTGGGACTAAATTTTCAGTGTTAACTCCCTGCTCCTAAACTCATCGCGCGTGTTCAAGCCCGGTTTCTCTTTCCTGATATGTATTGCCTCTAGTGTTAGCAATTTTGTTTGGTTGTTTGACCTATCTATAATTTCCCACCTAAGATCTGCGCTATTTCTCTCAAGTTGGCATTGCTGAAGGTGGATGCCTACCGGTGAGTCTGCTTTCTTATGTTCCTCAATTCTAGTGGTCAAATGTCGAACAGTTTGTCCGACATAGGTGGAAGTGCATCCACTACAAGACAGTTTATAAACCACTCTTGACTTGAGGTCATTAGAAAATGCTGACTTCAGTGATGGTAAACATGATTGCAGTTTTCTTGTGGTGAAAATCACTTGAACGTTAGTTAATTTTCGTAACCTGTTAGCAAAATATTGGCTCTGGTTACCTCTATATTGCACCATCAGCATTGGGGGCTTCACATCCTTTGGTGATTGAACTGACAAACCCCTGTCACTATCCAGGGGCTTGCCCTTACCCTCGATGATCTTGCACAAGGCGTCTGAAGCCACCTTTGCGGACCAATTTTCAGGGTACTGATTTGTCAGCCATTGCGCCCTATTAGTTTCCATAGCCTTATCAAATTGCTCCCAGCTAGATGTACTCCTAAAAACCCTGTGTACAGTGCCTTGGATAACACTACGCTTATACTGAGTTGGGGCGCAGCTTCTATAGTTCAGTATAGTCCCTGTATCTGTTGGTTTTTGATACCAACTGCAAGTTACACGCCTACCCTGCGATACATTTATGTTCAAATCCAGGAACGGCAAATTTTCCTCCGAATTAGTTTTCTCTAGAGTGAACTGCAAATTTGGATGAAGAGAATTGGCGGCATCGAGAAGACAACTCGGCTCCCCTCTGACTGTTCTAACAATGTCATCCACATACCTGAGGAACAATTTCACCTGGGGAGTATCCTTCTCCTTGTTCTTAGCTTGGCAGCAGCTTTCACAGTACCAGACTATCTCGGTTATTGATGCGTATACGTCATCGGATATTTTTCCGCATTTTAGATGGTACCAGTTTCGGCAACTCTCGCATTCAACCCCCTTTGATCTATATGTGACTTTCCTGCTGCAACATGGGCACAAGCCGTTTCTGTCATTAATTTGCGGTACCCCCGTTCCCACCGGTATTTGTTGTCGTAGAGCAAATTCGTATTCTTTCAGCCATAAGTTTGCCAGAATTACAGCGAGGGACGCGCCCATTGCTAAACCATCAACTTGTACATACCATGAATCATTACACTTGAAATATACTTTGCTGGCCGCCATATTCAAAAGCCTTTTCATTGTTGCTCTTTGAATTTCAGGAGGAGACTCCTGGCTGTACAGCTTCTGTAAAGCAATTTCAATTGCCTCCTTCAGGGGAACGTTGGTGTACAAACTTTTCACATCAAGAGATATTATGGTTTCATCCGGATCTAGAGCAATGTTTTCTATTTTTTCTCTAGCCTCTTTAGTATTGGTTTCTATATTTGCTCCATCGATGTTGTCAAAAAACTTTACAAGGATTTTGTTAAGATTCTCATACGAGCTGCCGGGAAGTGATAGTACAGGTCGTAGGGGTGTCTCATCCTTGTGTACCTTAGCTAAACCGTACAAACGGGCGGGTTGCCCCCCTGTTGATCTCATCTTAGAATATAAATGATCACTTATCTCGTCTCTTTTGTTCATGGCTAGTAATTCTTTGTTAAGTTCCTTCTCATTTTTCAGTATCACCTCATCAGTGGTTGCATCTTTTTTCACAAACTGAGCAGATTGCAACAAGGATTCCAGCTTTGATTCATTTGTTTGTGTCCTCATTATGCAAAAACCAACCCCCTTATCAAAAGGCACAGCCAGCAACCCATTATCTTTGAGATATTTCCTCGTTTTTTCAACGGCTTTGTCTCTTGGGGTTTGCCGTACGTTTTTTGCATATGCCTTTGCCGCGGCTTCTATTTCACATAACGTTTCACCAGATGTTTTTTGATTTTTCAATTGTGAGAAGAAAATGTTTATATCCGCCAAAAAATGTGTTTCGTTAAATTTGTCTCTAATTGGATGCTTGGGGCCCATTGATAGCGCTTCATATACCCATTCAGGCAGTTCAATAATATCAAGTACCTTAACTGATCGCTCATTTCTCCCCCCAAGAGGTTTATCTTGTCTCTCGGACAGTTTTTCTAACTTTTTTCTATGGTTTTCTGATGTTGTCTTTAAGCTTGCCTAAACTTGACGCCTCACGAATCGGAAAATGGATGCCCACCACTGTTTGTCAATATCTTTTTGCACCAGTGATCTTGCTTTCCTTAGCATCT